TGTTTTTAATTGCTCTGGTTACAGAGTTGCACTGTTTGCATGGCCTCCTCCAGCTTTATTTTGTCCTAAACTGTTACATTTGTACATGGTTTTGCAGAGCCCCAAGTTTGTTAAAGAAAGGACCGCAGAAACACCTGCATTACTATCATTACCTGGAAGACATTTTTTTGAAACATCTGCATTGCTATCATTACTGGGAAGACATAGGACATTCAGATTCTTACTTTAAGTCTTGACATTATCCAAAAGGAAACTTAGGTGTTCTGAGCAGCACGATCCAGGGTTGACTCATTTGTAAGCATGATTGAAGGTTCTGTCTAGAGGTTAGTTTCTGAGAAACACAATGGTAATAGTTTTATGAAACCCTTTTATTTTGTATAAACTATGCGTTCACTCTCATGATTTCTCTTCTCTGTCTCTCCCTTCCCTCTCCTTCCTCAGTCCTTCCCTTCCCTTTCCTTCTTCTGGTATCCTTGGAAAGAAGGGGTAATTTTATTACTACTTGTTTCTTAATGAGGGTCTTGTTTTCATTGTTGTCGATATGATCCATCAAGTTAAGATAAAAGAAAAATGATCCTTTTTGAAGATGAATGAAGAAGCTATACTATAATACGCGTTTAGAGAGAGCACTCAGATATTCATTTGCCTGCGATTTCACATGTACGGTCTCTGTAACCTCGTCATGTGATATGTGACTCACTTGCCCAAAATAATGATGACATCAAATCAAAAAGACTTGGAGGCCAGATGGTGGCTCATTGGTGACATGGCTGGATGCACACAGGAGAGCCCCAGGCTGGGGCCTCCCTGTGCATGCCAGGCACACAAAGGTGCTGTGCCCCGGACTGAGGCCAGATCACGGAATGGGGACCCTGTTGGGGTGCATGTACCTCTCATTCTCTCTCTCCCCACTCTCAGAGGAAACAAATCAATAAACTTCTTTCAAAGCATTAGTCGCTATTCATGTAGACTACTTGGTGTGAAATACATACAGATTGGGACCAGCTGTTGGCGTAATGGCTACATCACTGGACTCCCATGTAGTCGACTGCGGTTCAAGTCCCGGACCCGGTGGCTTAAACTCACGCCAGGCACATATGTGTGCGTGCCCAAGATTCCGAGAGGAGAATGGAGGAGAAGGGATTGCAGTGTGGCTATCCCCCCTGGGGGGTGATTTTTCGCTTTCTGTCTCTCTGTCTCTCTCTGTCTTTCTGGTGAGCGCACGCGCCCGATAGCGAAAACCTCTCCAAAAAAAAAAAGAAAGAAAGAAAAGAAAGAAATACATACAGACCAAACCTCTGTTACAGTGGTCAATTGTACACTTATCAGTTCCAGGACAGGCAGTCATTTTTAAATTTTAAATTAAAATCAGTAATGTCTAACAAACTAGGAGCCCATATTTTTCAAATGCTTACTCTGCCAAATACTCTCCTAAGCATTTTAGTGGTATTAGCTGATTAATCCTCAAAATGGCCTCTGAAAGGCGAGTGTTCTCAGCACGCTCCTGCTTAAGGAGAGGAAGCCGAGGCACGGAGGCGCTCGCGGGCCCACGGTCACACGGCTCCTGCATGCTGGAGCCGACATGGAAAGCCAGGCCTCTGAGCCAGAGAGGTAGGGTAGGCCTCCTTGCCGCTCTCCACACACCACCATGCTGCCCAGAGGGGAAAGGACGAAAGGACGGCATTCCCATTACAAAGCTGAAGAAACCGAGGCTCGGAGGGGCTAGTGCCTTGTCTAAAGTCACAGATGGTCGGGGCAGAGCAGGGATTTGAACTGAAAACATAAGCACTTGACTTCTTTGGACTCTCCAGAAGGTTAACTTTTCTGTCATCTCAGCCTCCCATAACCCCACTCAATCCTTGTCTCTGGACTATTTTCGAGGTTGCAGGTAGGACAACCTCAAAACTTTGTGTTTGTTACATTTGAATTTGCACATTTATCATTATTTCTAAAGTGTACATAAAAATAAGGAGATCTGGCTTAAACAGAAAGTAAAAGACATCAATTTAAAAGAAATGTTCAAAAGAAGTTCTCCAACATATAAATACTTTTTATTTTTCTTTTCATTTTAAAACTCTCTTGAACAAATCTGGCAAAAGATGGGTCACTTTTGGGACCGGCAGTTGGTGTAATGGCTATGTCACTGGACTCCCATGTAGTCGAT